CGACTTCTTGTAAGTGTTGAAGTCCACAAGTTTTTTTAAATATCGTTTTATGTATATATGCCGTCACGATATCCCTCGCCATGCATTCGGCACCTTGGATAGAAATTTATGGGTCTTCTGGATGAGACCGTGTTACTGAGGCCCCGTGTCACGATTGACTTTGGCTCAATAGAGATCCCTTACTGATTAATAACCCTGAGTATGGAGTCCTTCATCGGAATATGTTGAAGATGTATAAAAAATATTAATAAAATGAAATATTCTCGAAAAGGACTTAAAACAGCATACAATTATTCATTCAATCATTTCATTACAATATTTGAATAAATTTTGTTTTATATGAATCAAAAATAGATTGATTGATGGTATTGTTGATCCCTCTCGAGAATTTTTCACTCATATGGAGACGCCACCACTTGCAGGGGGAGAGCTGCAAATTTTGTCCTATACTCGGCACTCGGGGCTATTGAGCAAAGAGGGGTCTTTTTTATTCCAAAACTTACCAGGGGACCTAGGTTTATACGGACTTAGCGGAAGGACTGGTCTCTACGTCCAGACTAGGTCTTAATAAGGGGAGGTAATTTGTACCCATGGGAATTTCTATTGATTATTGAAAGACCTGCTCTCCATAAACAACATAGATATTCTAGAACAGAAATCCAGGCGTCTTTTTCATATGACTGTATGTGCACTATAACAGTTTTTTTCTAACAATTTTGCATATGACAAAAGACAACTTAAGTAAAATTACCATTGTTTTAAAAAAAAGGCAGCTGTTTATGTTGTCAAAGAGTCTGGAATAAAGGAAAGGGAGATAACGAACAGTGTTAAATATCATGGTTTGTAAAACAATACAAATTATTATACCTCTGTTGATAATACTGAAATTTGATTGGCTTGTTAGACGGCTTTTAAACTCAATAATGACTCCCAAAAAGTACTGTTTCCAGCAATAATGACCTAGAAATCATTGCATGCGGGATATAAGGACCTCATCATTATAAATAATGGCCTCTAAATTTTTCAAGATTGTTAGGCCTTACAAAATTCAATTTTTAAAACACTCTTTGTAAATAAAATTTATGATAGTGAAGGTACGCTTTATGGAAATAATGCCAAGACCTAAGTACTGATGAGTTTTGCCCCTTGGCTCATTATATTGGTATATTACGTCAGCAGTTACTGTGCACAATTTCGTAGATTTATGTCGTCTGTTGCCACTGCTTACAAGATGACCGAGACGAACAGGTTTCAAAATTTATCGTCGGTAGATTTATATACCGAAAAATTTTAGAAAATAGAGACAAATGCTAACACTAACCAGAAGTCTCTGTCGAGACTGTAGCTCTACTGGTTTGTACTTATCAAAAACCATTGCACTATTTTATGTATCTTTGTGTAGTCTACTTGTGTGCCAACTTATGTTGAAATCAGACAAAAACTGTAGAAGGAGTAGCATTTTTAAGGAATTCCACAGAAAATTCTATTTTGAGTAACCATAGCAATACCGTTTGTCGAAATCAAAAACTGATGCACTATTCTATGTATCTTAGTGTAGTCTACTTGTGTGCCAATTTATACTGAAATCAGACAAAAACTGTAGAAGTAGCGTTTTTAAGGAATTTCACAGAAAATTCTATTTTTAGTAACCATGGCAACACCGTTCATCGAAATCAAAAATCGAAGCACTATTCTATGTATCTTAGTGTAGTCTACTTGTGTGCCAAGTTATATTGAAATCAGACCAAAACTGTAGAAGGAGTAGCGTTTTAAAGGAATTTCACAGAAAATTCTATTTTTAGTAACCATGGCAACACCATTCATCGAAATCAAAACTGATGCACTATTCTATGTATCTAAGTGTAGTCTACTTGTGTACCAAGTTATACTGAAATCAGACAAAAACTGTAGAAGGAGTAGCGTTTTTAAGGAATTTTACAGAAAATTCTATTTTTAGTAACCATGGCAACTTCGTTCATCGAAATCAAAAACCGATGCACTATTCTATGTATCTTAGTGTAGTCTACTTGTGTGCCAAGTTATACTGTAATCAGACCAAAACTGTAGAAGGAGTAGCGTTTTAAAGGAATTTCACAGAAAATTCTATTTTTAGTAACCATGGCAACACCGTTCATCGAAATCAAAAATCGATGCACTATTCTATGAATCTTAGTGTAGTCTACTTGTGTGCCAAGTTATATTGAAATCAGACCAAAACTGTTGAAGGAGTAGCGTTTTTAAGGAATTTCACAGAAAATTCTATTTTTAGTAACCATGGCAACACCGTTCATCGAAATCAAAAACCGATGCACTGTTCTATGTATCTTAGTGTAGTCTACTAGTGTGCCAAGTTATACTGAAATCAAACTAAAATTGTAGGAGGAGTAGCGTTTTGAAAAATTGTTTACAGACGGACAGACAGGCAGACGGACGGACGCCGGACGCATTACTATCGCATAAGCTCTTCTGGTCTCTGACCAGTAGAGCTAAAAACTGTATTTTTGTGGCTGTGAAAATTCTCTCAGACTATTGTGAAACAAAGGCTTGGAGAATAATGAGTTGTTGGGAAAAAACAAAAGATGAACTTGTCGAGTTTCTCTTAAGTTTTTATGCCGAAATAAGGAAGAAGAATAGGGATCTGTATTCAAGAACGTCAACGATAATTATAAGATTCGGTGTACATAAGACATTTTTGACACATAGAAATTTTAATATTGTTAACGATGCAAACTTTCGTTCGGCCAACGAAATGTTTAAAGCTGTGTTGACTAAAATATAAACATCGGGAAAGGGAACCGTACAGAATAAAGAAGTTATAAGGGATTACAGTGTAAACTGTTCCAGGACATTATGTTCTATACGTGTCGTACAGGGCGTGAAAACCTAAGGTGTATGAAGAAAACGGACTTCATTCTTAAAACTGATTCCCAAGGTAGGCGATTTTACATCTACATTGCTAAGTATGAGAAGTATGAGACGAAAAATCACAGGGACGCAAATGTTGGTGATGATGATTCTTCTTGTGGCAGAATATATGAAATGCCAGGCCTAGAATTATATTGTTTGGTTTTACTTAAATCTGAAAAATTCCTAGAAAACTATCAAGAATTGCACAATGTTTAGTTACATGTTGTATTTCTGATTTTTTATTTAAGCAGGAATGTCAAAATGTCCAGTTTTAAGCTTGGAGAAATATCTATCTAAACTGAATGCAATCTGCGACTGCTTTTGCATGGCAGAGACTCAAGAAGAAGTTTAAAGATCATGATAGGTTGTGGTACGATCATCTTCCAGTTGGGCATAATTCCCTGGGGAGTTGAAAACCATGTTACTAAAAGCTTAACTGTCGCACATACATGTATATACAAATCACTCCATCCGTGTCACCTGCATAACGACATTGGATCAAAAAGGTGTTGAAGCTCGTCATATAATGTCTATAAGTGGCCACAAAAATGAAAACTATCAAAAGTTATTCCAGAAATGTGTCTGATGAGAAAAAGTATGAAAAGTGCAGTGTTTTACAGAGTGTTGTCAATACAACATCAACGGCTCATGGTTCTGAAGAAAGTGCTCAAATTTTGAATTTCGATCTCTCTCTAATATTTCAAATTATGAAGTTCAGCAGCTGGATAATGTTCAGTTAGTTTCTGAAATTTTCAATGAGGTTCCTGAGTCAGAATAGGAAAATAGAGCTATTCAAAATAACGCTGGCATTTCCTCTTACAGTGTGCCATGCATCCCTTCCTGTGGGCCATTATTTTCTCATGTCAATCAGGTTAATATCCACTATCATCTGAATGACAAAGCTTGAAAAAAAAAATCTCTTGTATGCTTGTATGACTTTATAATTTAAGTCAAAATGCTTAGACAATTTACTGGCATAAAATATAGAAATTTTGTTTTTTGTGTTACAAAATTTTTTTGTCTTGAAACAAAATAAAGTTTACTGCAGAATATCCCACCTAGCTCTGATGTTTTAGAGGTCCGTGTTTGCTCCGCTCCTATTATACAATTGTTGTGTATTAATGCAAAATATTAATACTATAATCCAGAAAATTCAGTGTAAACATGTTCGACAGAAAAACAAACACACAATATATTTTCAGTCCGTGCAGTTGTGGTGAGCAGACTTTGGCGATTGAACGCACCCGGTGAACCAAAACACCAAACAATAACAGAGCTGTCGCCCTGTTTACAAAAACTGTGTACATAACACGAGTGTGCTCGTTTTGTTAAACTCTGTACACAACGGAATGACGATACTTGTGAAGGAGTTTTGCTTTCTAACATTTCTACTCTGAATAAAATTATTTTTCTTGATTTAAGTTTTAATTTTTCTCATTAATACACAACAAGATTGCCACTTTTCCTAAGGACTAAGAATAAAGTTAAAATTTGTGATAGTGAAAAGATGTGTCAATCAAACCCGCTAAAAAATTAAAAGTTTTGATAACTTTTAAATGAAATAGAATTTTTAATTAATATTTGTGTGAAATGCTATTAAAATATATAATTGGTGATATTATACAGAAAAAATTAACTTCAAATCTGTGTCCAAGTACCTTTAATTGAATTCTCATGATTTATTTAGGTAAAAAATATTCGAAAAGTGATCCTATTCTGATACACAATTTCAGTGCATAAAGATTATAATAAATCTACCATAGGTTAAAAAAAAAATAGTGACCCGATTTTAATAATTTAAAAGCTTTGTCTGTAGAGACGTAATAATTAAACTTGACAAAAACCGTTTACTTTTGATAAATTTGAATCAAGCATCCTTAAAAATAAAACCAGATGATTACTACGGAATTAAGTTTTTGGTATATCTTGCATAGTTTATATGTATGATACGCTGTCTACGCTTGTCGATGTGTGTGAAACATCAGGTGACAGAATTGCCATCAGACAAATAAAAATAAAAAACGCAATACATGTATATCGTTGTTTTTGTTTTGGGGGAAATGATTAATTTTGTATTTCGAGTGACGTTGATAATACAGAGTAAAGGTGTATAAAAACAGATATTTGTACAAGTCTATCTCGATTGTAAAACCTATCGTAAAGAATGAAAGGAACCGTTATTTTACTGCTGTCATCAGTCTGTGTAAGTAGGATATGGTACATTTTGGTAAATTTTTCGCTTAGGCCATAGATTCTCAGTAAAATAAATATTTTGGAATTTATTTTATTTCTTTAGTCATTTATTTATTTTTATTCATTACTTTTTTTGGCCATGCAACGATATTTTATGTAAGTTAAACCTCGGTGAAGAATTATGTTGATAAACCGAACATGATACCTGGCGCTTTATTTATTTTGCAGTCATTCATTGGTTTTGATGTATTTAATTATTTATTATTTAATTATTTATTTATTATTTTGTTCATACAACGATATGTTATGTAAGGTTAACCTCGGTAAAAAAAACTATGATGACAAACTAAATATGATACATGGCACTTTAAATGTAACTTCTGACAAGAGCACATGACTTCAGAAAGTTTAATATATAGGATTGGGCAAGTTAGAAAATTTACCTTTTGACATAGTTCATCCCAGTGTTCCGCTCCACCAATTTTTCTTCTTTAACAATACGCGTTATTTTTTTATATATATATCTTCCAATAAATACTCTGGGTAAGTGATTTTTGAAAACGTTTACATTCATTTTCTATAATTGTTGAATTATAACTGACCTTTATAAAATATTCTTTTTACAATATTATAATTAAATAAAGGTCTATTTTTCATTAAATAGATAGAAATGGTTCGACAACGGTTTTGAAACTTAAATAGAAATTTACTCATCCAAATAAATAAATTTATAAATAAAAAAGATAGTAATAAAATTGAAACCAATTATCTGAATTCAAAAGTTATTATTTGAAATACGGATTATTCCTATAGCTTTTTTTTTTTAAATTTAATTAGTCTTATATAAGGTGTTCAGTAGTCTCAACGGTATTGAACAACTTAAAAAATCTTGGTCAAACAAAGAAATTATATCCCTTACATAACGATACATGTTTACATACAATGGGTCTAACTAGGATCGTCAAATAACAACAATCCAGAATGATTAACCTACACGTAAGTGGTCGAAACGTTTAACATGTTTAGGTTTAACCATTTGGCTGTGAAAACATTTCATTCAATGTCATATAATGTATACACTAACTAGGTAATTTAAAGTAAAAACATGTGCGTTTATAGTTTACAAAACATGAAATAGGCTATTTGTAGAAAATGAGATACAAGGCATATATACTGGTTTGGATTATATGTATTTTTTAAAACCAAAATATACACTTACACGAGGATGACAAAGAGAGAGGATGACGTAAAATTACTTATGTAATGAAGAAGTAGGAATCAGCCATTGCTAATTTCCTTCAAAATTGTCTCCTGTTCTTCTTTAGAAAATATTTTGTACAATATCATTCAACTGTTTGAAAAGAAATTATGATAAAAAAAATATTTATGGAAAATGTTTAAAACACCTGTACATAAAACATTTCTTCTAGGTGATTGGTAATAACCAATATAAACTGGAATTAAAAGTGAAATACCTCTAAACAGCAAATAGCTTAACAATATTTAACCAAGAATTATTTTTATATTTTTTTATATTTTCGCAGGCCTTTGCGCAGTATGTACCACAAGGCCCTATTGCTGATCAGCCGTCTCGACCAAAGCCGGGATCTTGCCCTGTGTCTGATATAATCACCACATGTGAATGCAATCCAGCAAATGAACTGTGTCAAGGGGACAACAAATGTCCTGGAGGTAGGTTAGTGTAACCGAATGTCGCTCGGCAGTTCATGAGCGCTGTACTGACTAAGCAAGCTATCCTGACAATTTTTAAAGCAATATTAGCTGCATTTTTGAGAATTTTAATTTGCCCTTAAAATGTGTTATGATAAATTTGTATGTTATTTAAACCTTTATGATGAATAGGACTATAAATAATGTATGAAACTGTTTCATAGGAAAGACTTCTGTACAATCGAATATATATATTGTAGTATCATGTGAGAAATCAATATTGTACAGGACGACAAAAATAAATATTGCTTCAATCAAAGCTCATCAATAGTTCTTCAATCCCAAATATGAACAAAAATTTATAAATGTAATTTATTCTCTAACTGAAATATTATATTAAAATTTTGCAACAAAAATTTCCGACATTTAAGTTGCAGCTCATATTGCTTAAACTCCTTCGATTAATTTCTCCTTTTCTTTGTTTTACATACAGAAGTATTGTTCCTATGGTGAAAAAAAAAATGTTTGTTTGTAGTACAGATGTATTGTTCCTATGATTAATTTCTCCCTCTTCTGTTTGTTTTTAGTACAGAAGTGTTGTATCTATGATTAATGTCTACTATTATTTGTTTTTAGTACAGAAGTGTTGTATCTATGATTAATTTCTACTATTATTTGTTTTTAGTACAGAAGTGTTGTATCTATGAATAATTTCTACTATTATTTGTTTTTAGTACAGAAGTGTTGTATCTATGATTAATTTCTACTATTTGTTTTTAGTACAGAAGTGTTGTATCTATGATTAATTTCTACTATTATTTGTTTTTAGTACAGAAGTGTTGTATCTATGATTAATTTCTACTATTATTTGTTTTTAGTACAGAAGTGTTGTATCTATGATTAATTTCTACTATTATTTGTTTTAAGTACAGAAGTGTTGTATCTATGATTAATTTCTACTATTATTTGTTTTTAGTACAGAAGTGTTGTATCTATGATTAATTTCTACTATTATTTGTTTTTAGTACAGAAGTGTTGTATCTATGATTAATTTCTACTATTATTTGTTTTTAGTACAGAAGTGTTGTATCTATGATTAATTTCTACTATTATTTGTTTTAGTACAGAAGTGTTGTATCTATGATTAATTTCTACTATTTGTTTTTAGTACAGAAGTGTTGTATCTATGATTAATTTCTACTATTATTTGTTTTTAGTACAGAAGTGTTGTATCTATGATTAATTTCTACTATTTGTTTTTAGTACAGAAGTGTTGTATCTATGATTAATTTCTACTATTATTTGTTTTTAGTACAGAAGTGTTGTATCTATGATTAATTTCTACTATTATTTGTTTTTAGTACAGAAGTGTTGTATCTATGATTAATTTCTACTATTATTTGTTTTTAGTACAGAAGTGTTGTATCTATGATTAATTTCTACTATTATTTGTTTTTAGTACAGAAGTGTTGTATCTATGATTAATTTCTGCTATTATTTGTTTTTAGTACAGAAGTGTTGTATCTATGATTAATTTCTACTATTATTTGTTTTTAGTACAGAAGTGTTGTATCTAAGATTAATTTCTACTATTATTTGTTTTTAGTACAGAAGTGTTGTATCTATGATTAATTTCTACTATTTGTTTTTAGTACAGAAGCGTTGTATCTATGATTAATTTCTACTATTATTTGTTTTTAGTACAGAAGTGTTGTATCTATGATTAATTTCTACTATTATTTGTTTTTAGTACAGAAGTGTTGTATCTATGATTAATTTCTACTATTATTTGTTTTTAGTACAGAAGTGTTGTATCTATGATTAATTTCTACTATTATTTGTTTTTAGTACAGAAGTGTTGTATCTATGATTAATTTCTACTATTATTTGTTTTTAGTACAGAAGTGTTGTATCTATGATTAATTTCTAGTATTATTTGTTTTTAGTACAGAAGTGTTGTATCTATGATTAATTTCTACTATTATTTGTTTTTAGTACAGAAGTGTTGTATCTAGGATTAATTTCTACTATTATTTGTTTTTAGTACAGAAGTGTTGTATCTAGGATTAATTTCTACTATTTGTTTTTAGTACAGAAGTGTTGTATCTATGATTAATTTCTACTATTATTTGTTTTTAGTACAGAAGTGTTGTATCTATGATTAATTTCTACTATTATTTGTTTTTAGTACAGAAGTGTTGTATCTATGATTAATTTCTACTATTATTTGTTTTTAGTACAGAAGTGTTGCTCCTATGGGTGTGGTTGTAGGACACATTGTGTTAATCCTGTAGGAGTAGGATCAGGGAACGGTATGTACTATGAAATCACAAATTTTGGTGACGGTTTAATTTTATTGTTTTGTTGGGCTGTCAAGGATTTTTAGCTCACCTGAGCCGAAGGCTCAAGTGAGCTTTTCTGATCAAAATTTATACGTCGTCTGTCGTTGTTGTCATTGTCGTAAACCTTCACATTTTCATCTTCTTCTCAAGATCCGTTGTGCCAATTCAACCAAACTTGCTCAAAATATTCATGAGTGAATGGAATTCAAGTTTGTTCAAAAGGGCCAAGCCCTTTTCCAAGGGGAGATGATGAATTAATGAAAATTTAATGGCATCTTTTTAAAATCTTCTCCAGAATCATTGTGGAATTATCGGCAGGCAGTGTAGATTAAAGTTTGTTCAAATCATGGCCCCCGGGGGTAGGGCGGGGCAACAATGGCTGATCAAATTTTTGCATATGAATATATAGGAAAAATCTTTAAAAATGTTCTTCTCCAGAACCACTGGGCCAAGAAGGATGAAACTCATGTGGAAGCATCCCCGACTAGTGTAGATTTAAGTCAAGCGGGGGAGGGGGGGGGCCACAATAGCCGATCAGAGTTTTACATGGGAATACATAGGAAATCAATTTAAAATCATCTTTTCAAGATCAGCAAATCTATTATTGGTGATAGTAATATGGAAACATCCTCAGTTAGAGTTATTCAAGTTTCTTCATGTCCCTTAGGGGTAAGGTGTGGCCATAATGGGCAATCAAATATTTACATAGGAATATATAGGAAAAATCTTTGAAACTCTTCTTCTCAAGTATGGCAAAATTATACATGTATGTTTGATTGATATAGTGACGTTTTCAAATTAAAAAAAATTGAAATCCCTTCTACCCAGACAAGTAAAATTTTCAATAATGAGCTGATTTCTGTTTTTTAACTAGCCCATGTGCTCAGGTGAGCAGTGTGGCCCATGGGCCTCTTGTTTGTTATATAATGTCAATATGCACCACCTATTTTTCTTCTGGAACTGTCACTTATTTAGGGTCTGTTGGAGGAAAACAGACTTTGTCATTATAAGCAAACGGGACAAATATTTCTATTTGAAACATTGGATCTCTATTTGAAGTTTGTGTTGATCTCTGTTTTGAAATTTATTCTATTGTAGTATATTTTTCTGTATTAGTAGTATACTATTTACCACTGTCGATGTTTCTCCCTAATTGTGTAAACGTATTTATTTCATTTAGTAGTGTATCATTTAACCCCTATATTTTATTCTTTTGAACAGTTTGTGTATACAATGGCAGGAAGTACAAAGTAGGAGAACGTTTTCCTTCTGAGGACGGGTGTAACACGTGCACGTGTAATTCTAATGGCGGAGTCGGGTGCACAGAAAAAGCTTGTATTGGCCGTTAGTAGCTTTTTACTGTAGGGACATATTTCTTTAAAACAGATTGTTATTTATGAATATGCCTGTTTTGATCATAAATATTTTCATCAATTCCAAGTTTAACCTACAAGCGTGAATATGTAAAACACCCATGTATATGTGTCAGATAAATTTCAATATCTTGTTGGGAACTGAAGCTTGGAATCCTTTAATGTAATTAATGGGATGCGGAGAACATTTTTTCGTGTAATGAGCGAACTGCTCCTTCTTTAGCTGCAATAATGTAGCCCTCTCCGATTCTTTTTTTTTTGGTGGGGGAGGGGAGGCTTCAACTCTTAGAATAGTGCAATGCGGCAGTGAATCACTCCCGCACGAATTTCGGCTCAAATTATCAGTAAAAGAGAGGGCTACATTATTGCAGGTACTCCTTGCTAAGAGAGAATTTCCTTAGTTGTAAAATTACTAAGTTTACTCCTATTTCATTATTATAGTCTTGTCCACTAAAAAGTTCCCTATTTAGCGAAATGTTTTCTGTATCATGTACCTTGAACAATTCTTGAATTTAAGGTCTGTCGCTTAAACGCCAGGGAAGAAAAGCCTTGCAATATTTTTAAACATTTAAAACATCAACACTCTAGATCTGGATTTTAACTACAAAAATACTAATCTTGTACCTTTATTATATTACAACGCAAAATCAAACCTTTCCAAATCCAAAATGAATTGGAAGTTAACGTTAAAAGTACTGTTATTTGTAGAGGACATCTGTTCCCTACCGAAAGTTGTCGGCCGCTGTCGGGCAGCCTTCAGACGTTGGTGGTTCAACACACGAACAAATCGCTGTGAGAGATTTATCTATGGCGGATGTCGGGGAAACGAAAATAATTTTGAGTCGAGGAGGGAATGTGAGCGTCGATGTAGAAACAGAGCATGTAAGTAGTAGTCAGAGAAACGGAGATATGTCGTGTAATTGCTTGTTGTTGTTTAACTTCCCTCTCGAGAATTTTTCACCCATATAATTGATTATTGTTTAACGTTCCATTTGAAGATTTTCAATCATTTAGAGACGTCACCGTATGCCGGTAAGAAAACTTCAAATTAATACCAATATTCGGCACTCAGGGCCGTTAAGTAGTGTGTGTTCTTTATCGTGCCAACGCGTACATTGGTTTTCGACATCATTTATTAACCCTTTTCTACATTTTACTGAAATACTCAAAAATTCATCTTGTCTGCAATCTTAAAACACTAATAAAGTTCAGAATACTTTTATGATTTGCGAGTATAATCGTTCTCAATTATGGGACCACAAACTGATTATTTTGTTTTGATACTGAAGGTGACATAGCTAGTTCTTATTCTTTTTCATAGGTTCATACTTTTATATTAAAAATGCAGGAAAAAAACCCACGTTTAGATAACCTGTTTTTTTTTTCATTCCAGATCCTCAGGGTCGACCCGGCCGTAGCCCTATTGCATAGAAGATAATACCATTGGAGAGATATTCTTTATTTTGTAAAAGTTTTGTACCCTTTAACTATGTTACTTCAATATTTGAAAATAAAAAAATATAAAAAACCAAGTATTTACTTTCAATATTTTTCATAAAACCTGTATGTGCGAGGGCAATGAGTTCCTCATGTGGATCTAAATTATTGACTTAACAATGCGCTATAACACCTTATATAGAGGGATAAGGGATACCTTTTATGAGTTTTGTCCTCATGACACAGTGTACGTGTAAATTCGACTTAAAACAAGAAATCTGTGAGCCAATGCTCACTAGTAATACCCCCGCTCTGTTGTAAATAAGCACTTTCATGTTAATAGACTGTTTACACAAGTTCAATTACAGGCAGATGAACTTGACATCAGATTCATATCAAAATTAAACCCACCATATGGTATGCCTCAACAAAGTCAGTAATAACATTTCAAGCATCTGCTATGAATAGCTAATGAGAAAACTGCTGCGAAAATTTGTCATGTATGAAACGGACAGACGCACAGACAAACAGGAAGTTGATACTGGATTCAAACCAGAAGTCTCTGTCGAGACTGTAGCTCTACTGGTTTATACTTAAAACAAAGGAAGAGAAAAGTAGCAGTTGTGACTTGAGACTTCAAAACAGCAATCAATAGAAAAATGATCCTTGCCACCCATCAAAATAAAAACAGATGCACAGAATTATGTATCTTAGTGTAGTCTACTTGTGTGCCAAGTTATATTGAAATCAGACCAAATCTGTAGGAGGAGTAGCATTTTGAAAGAATTTCACAGAAATTTCTATTTTTAGTAACCATGGCAACACTGTTCATCGAAATCAAAAACTGATGCACAGAATTATGTATCTAAGTGTAGTCTACTTGTGTGCCAAGATATACTGAAATCAGAACAAAACTGTTTGAGGAGTAGCATTTTGAAAGAATTTCACAGAAATTTCTATTTTTAGTAACCATGGCAACACCGTTCATCGAAATCAAAAACGATGCACAGAATTATGTATCTTAGTGTAGTCTTCTTGTCAGCCAAGTTATACAGAAATCGGACCAAAACTGTAGGAGGAGTAGCATTTTCAAAGAATTTCACAGAAATGTCTATTTTAAGTAACCATGGCAACACCGTTCATCGAAATCAAAAACCGATACACAGAATTATGTATCTTAGTGTAGTCTACTTGTCAGCCAAGTTATATTGAAATTGGACCAAAGCTGTAGGAGTAGCATTTTGAAAGAAATTCAATGAAATTTCTATTTTTAGTAACCATGGCAACACCGTTCACGGAAATCAAAAACCAATGCACAGAATTATGTATCTTAGTATAGTTTATTGTGTGCCAAGTGATATTGAAATCGGACCAAAACTGTAGGAGGAGTAGCATTTTGAAAAATTGTTTACAGACAGACAGACAGACGGACGGACGACGGACGCATTACTATCGCATAAGCTCTTCTGGTCTCTGACCAGTAGAGCTAACAAAAATATATCCCACCATATGGCATGCCTCTGAGAAGATTGTGTTAAATTTTCAAGCATCTGTGATTAGTAGTTGCTGAGAAAACTGACGAAAATTTGTTTTGTATGAAACTGACAGACGCACAGACAAACAGGAAGTTGACATCGGATTTAAACAAAAATGTATCCCACCATATGGCATGCCTCAGAAAAGATTGTGTTAAAATTTCAAGCATCTACATTGAGTAGTTGCTGAGAAAACTGCAACGAAAATTTGTTATGTATGAAACTGACAGACGCACAGACAAACAGGAAGCTGACTTTGGATTTGAGCAAAAATGTATCCCACCATCTGGCATGCCTCAGAGAAGATTGTGTTAAAATTTCAAGCATCTACGATGAGTAGTTGCTGAGAAAACTGCTACGAAAATTTGTTATGTATGAAACGGACAGACAAACAGGAAGTTGACTTCGGATTTGAGCTAAAATGTATCCCACCATATGGCATGATTCAGAGAAGATTGTGTTAAAATTTCAAGCATCTACGATGAGTAGTTGCTGAGAAACTGTGACGAAAATTTGTTTCGGATGGACACACAGACAGACAGACAGACGGACAGACACACAAGGGTAAAACAGTATACCCCCCTCTCCTTCGGAGCGGGGGTATAATTAAATTCAATCGGAATTCAAGTGGCCTTATACAGGATTGTATTTACTCAGGTTACCATTAACACTCTTTCGTGTCTAATTTGATACCTCACTGTTATTATGTCCATGTAAATAGATACGTCTTCAACAAACAAAGAGATATCCTACATCTAATAACTATCTTTCGTTTTTCCATATGTAGAGAAAAAAGCTTCATGACTTTTAACATAAAAACGGTTTAGGCAAAAATAAAATAATTCAACGTTGAAATTAAAGCATTTGAAATACTGTAGATTGGCAATTAATCACGATGGTTTTAATTTCGCTATGTTCGCGATTTGTAATTTTCCCGCGAAATTAAACCCATCGTGAATGTTTTCATTAGTTTTATAAAATTATTCAATGCTTATACGGGAATTTTGACTTAATTTCTTGCATCGTGAAATTAAAACCATCGCAATTGGTTCTTTTTGAGATATCGTAAAATTTAACACCGTGGAATTAAAAAAAAGGAAATGTCCATTTCTTAAACACGAAAACCGGGGGGGGGGGGGGGGGGTAGGTTCGAACTTCAGTACCAAAATTTTTTTTCCAAACATCACCATTTTCCCCATTTTTACCCATACTAAGACGTATCTGTGGAAAGTGGAGGGGGGGGGGGGGTAAACATACGAAGGTATGTTCAATGTCTATACTAAGTATGTATTTAGAAAAAAAGTGGGGGATAAGCCCCCCCATCCCCTTTCCGACGCCTATGAGATGTCCTTATCCCTCCGACTTCAATGAAAATAGGCTTTTAACAGCCTGATGAAATCAGGGTTTCGGGTTCTACATTTAATTCCAGAAATTAGGATGTTATAGCTCCAATCTGATAAAAGTTGGAAAGTGGAGGGGGGGGGGGGGCTAAACCTACGAAGATATGTTCAATGTCTATACTAAGTATGTATTTAGAAAAAAAGTGGGGGATAAGCCCCCCCATCCCCTTTCCGACGCCTATGAGATGTCCTTATCCCTCCGACTTCAATGAAAATAGGCTTTTAACAGCCTGATGAAATCAGGGTTTCGGGTTCTACATTTAATTCCAGAAATTAGGATGTTATAGCTCCAATCTGATAAAAGTCAGATACTTTGATCCGCTCACACGGATAGCTACTTTGTGAAGGGATCTACGTGAGCGGATCAAAGCATTCATTTTGATCGATTGATTGTATGTTGTTTAACGTCCGTCTTGAGAATTTTCACTCATAAGGAGACGCTATCACTTGCCGTTGAAGGGCTGTAAATTTTGCCCCTTTTGGGCTTGGAAAAATTTAAATTTTGGGGGAGGGAAGCATAAGTGTTTTACAAACATCTCTTGTTAACTTTGATTTTCCAATGAAAAGGATCAAAACTCTCTAATGGCTCACATTGAAGAATATATCATACATATACATGTATTTGAGTTTCTATATTACACACGATTTTTTTTATTTTTTCATTGATGTGAACGTGTGAAGTACCTAAGGATTCTACAGTCTTTTTTTTAATTTCATGGATGTGAAGTACCTAAGGTTTCTGTCTACCAAAAAATGTTTGTAATTTTATGTTCCGTTGGTAAAAGTTAAGCGGTCGTACACCTCATTAAGGTTAAGATGTTCCCTCTGATAGAGATGAGTATATAATAACCTATCTCCAAAATAAATCAGCTAGAATACAAAGTTCTTGAATTTACCGTTAATTTAATATATAATATACATCTATTTACGTGATGTAAAAAAAAATGATGAGCGAAAAGTTTTTATTCTACGATGTTGCATTTTGCACACCTGTGATAAACATGAAACATTTTTCAATCAAAATGTCAAATGAAACTGTAACATGTGATAGATTACGTTAATGCCTGTACTATTGTTTTTTAATTTATTATTGTGATTTGATATGAAATTACAAGCTATTTTTGGTTTTCATAAACATATATGTTATATTGCGATATTGTGAACAAAGTAGGGACTTGACAAATAACTTCATTTAATATGAATTTCAGAAAATTTAAAATTAACTCGAAAAATCGGCCGTAGGGTTTCCCTTGCTGGTTTTAAGTTCAGATAATAAGCACTATCTTAACAGTTGTTTCTCTAAACAACATATTATTTTTTAAAAAATCACTTTCGTAAAATCACAGTACGAATGACTTCACAAAAACTCATAATGATTGACAAATTGCATGTGTTTAATGTCCCTATTATCATAATGATAAAAGGACCTTCATAAAGTTATACAGCGTATTGTGTTGATATGTTTGTCGTATTTCTACACGGCAGGTCAACACGGCCGACATTATAAGTAACGATTAATTACCCCATGCCTTTAGCATGCCAAAATTAATAGCAGGGTTTTTGGATTTTCTGTTATATGTTTAAAAACAAACAATATTTCTCTTTTCGGAAAATGTATACCGATGGATTGAATGACGTATTAAAAAAATAAATATTATTAATGTGTACTATATGAATATTAAAGTACACACAATTTTATTCCGTCGTTAAATAGAAGCAGCCTATATGTCATTCCTATAAACGTTAACTCATAAATCTGCACTTTGTTGGTCATTTCTCGCACTTGAGTTACCTGTCTTTAGAACACAGCAATTACAAGACAATTAATTTAATTAAACCTTTAATGGTGTGATTAAAGAATTGCATAAGTTACATGCATAATCCTTTTTGATAATTTCATGTACCTAAAAATCTATCAAATATTTTTTAAAATCTTATTTGCAACTTGAAACATTAGCTGAAAACCTATATATAGAAAATCTCGTTACACCGAAGCCAACGTTTTACTTAGTACATGTATTTCCAAGAAGTAAAAAAATTTTTTCTAGCCATTTTTAGATCAGATTCCAACATTTCTAAAACAAAATAAGACATTATACTGGTAATAAACACTTTAAATGATTAAGTTTAAAATTGAATTTGAATAATACTTTCTG